GTCTGTTGTTTGACAAGTCTTGGAAGTGACAAGTCCTTAAAGCAGCTACATTCTAAATCGAAGTACATACATTCTGCATTGAGATCAAAATAAACAACTGCAGTGGCTGTGAAAGTCTTAGTAATTTTGAAAACTTGGTAGTAGACATGATTATCAATGCTATTTTTCAGCGCTTTGCATATTCCTTCATCTGCTTGATAATATGTGCCACTGTTAGCCAGCTAATAGGTCTACATATTTAGATACATTGAACTGAGGGTCAAGACTGAACTCTTACTGAACTTCATAGAAGTGACTGACTACTTACGTTTGCAATAGAAACACATAAACTGTAAACACTTCACAACACTTTCACTATTTGTAGCTGCGATTGCTTGTTCTAAGCTTCTAATTAATCCTTATTAACGGGAGCCTCATTATTAAGATTTCGATAATGTTTACATTCATACATTGTAGGTTAGAAATCGGAGGTGATGCAATCAGACATACGCTTTATATCAATCGGTTGGAAAAGCGGAGCTTTATGCCATATTGTAAAATATAACATGAATAGGGGCTTACAATCATATTTTTATCGTATTTATAAACCGATGATGATTTCAATAAATTGATGAACGTCAAAGAATAATTGCAGCCTTTGGCGGTAGACATCGCAATCTGTAAACATAAAAAACTACTAGATTCATCCGATTTAATGGCTCTAGTCCGGTCCGTTAGACAATGGAATATAGAAATTTTGAATCTTTTCGAAAATGTTGATTTTCACGCGCAAAAAGGACAATTCTATTTGGCGTGATCCATATTGGATGAAGCGATAGTCATGAAGCCGAAATGGCACGTTTTGACGTTCCGCTCGCACTCACTCGCTTTCGTAATACGATCGTATCTACGATACCCCGCCTAACAGGAATCCGGGGATCTGGAGGGGAAATTCAAAATTGAAACGTCAAACTAAAAATATCTGCATATCTTTAAATTTGTAATCTGCCGAGTTTAAAAAATGCGATCGGGTACGTGTCGTATGTCGGTTTAATCAGGAGACTTTGGCCTTTCGTTTTGCGAAAAAAAAATCGTAGCCACGTCGCTCCGTAACGCAGGTCCGTATCGACGAAGACAAAGTACGCCGAAAAACGGTTGTCATCGGTACTTTTGAGGCGCTCAAAGTTTACTTTTTCGAAATTTGACGGTAATTCTGACGGTCAGAATCGTTTCGTCAGCTCATTATCGTTATTTTTCGATAGCTGTATAATTTTTACTCGCTCACGTACGGTAGTAATAAGCGAGGACAGAGCCGGATGACAAGGTGACTTTTTCACGCGTCGAAAAGTAGCGTATTGTCGAGGAATTTTTAAAAAATCGAAACTTTTCAACGTAAACGAATGGAGAAACGGATAAGATTGCGATCCCGTATTCGAAGTACGGGCTTTCTTATGCGACAGTCGCCAGGTCCGTATCTTCGTTATCTTCGGAGGAGATAGACCGTGGACGGCGATAAGCGCGTTTCATAAGCAAAAAAGTCATTCTTGACGACGTTCGAGGTTCGTTTATTCGAAACGGGTGCCGTAAACGGAAAAAAGTCTCTCCGCGTAATTCGTAGCGCTAGTCGAGATGTACGAAACGCGGCGTGCGAAATTTCTTTTCTCTTCGGCGTAAAGGAGATATCGAAGTTTTTACCGCGACTTGCCGTTTTTCTCGCGTTTTCTTTAACATTTTCTTAAAAAAAAAACTAAGACGCGGACCGCGATCAGTTCCGCCCTAAAGTGTGCGCCCGTCGTTTAGCTATCGAACGAGACCGATCTCGAGTCGATATTTCGATAAACGGCGAAACGAGTGTGAAATAACGCCGCGTACCGTCCGAAAAACGGTCGATTTTTCAACTTTACCGGCCGTTTTCGATCCGATCCGTTCCTCTCGCCGCGAAGGCTCTCGCCCGCCCGTAAAGCGCCGAGTTTCTAGTTTCCGAAACGGTACCTCCTTCCTTCCGAACGTTTCGCGAACCGGGAAAAAACCGAAAAAACCGCGTCGACGTCGCCCGCCCAAAATTTCTAACGTCACGTGACCTCTTCCTTAAAACAATCGATCACCGCTTAATATAGTCGACTAGCGCAGTTTCTGGCATGCTAACGCTATGCCAAATATTGTACGTTGATGTCTTTATTTAAAACCTCACGTAGCGCAGTTGCCGGTATGCTAATGCAATGCTAGCGATATATACTTTATCCCTATCTCTAATCATTTTCTATCCTTTGACATGTTTGATCTGGTATCTGGAATCATATATCTGGTATCTGGTATCTGATGTCTGGTATCTGGTATCTGGAATCTGGTATCTGGTGTCTGGTATCTGGTATCTGGTATCTGGTATTTGGTATCTGTTATCTCTTTATCTGGTATCTGGTTTCTGATGTCTGGTATCTGGTGTCTGGTATCTGGTGTCTGGTATCTGGTGTCTGGTATCTGGTATCTGGTATCTCGTATCTGGTATCTGGTATCAGGTATCTGATGTTTGGTATCTGGTATCTGGTGTCTGGTATCTGATGTCTGGTATCTGGTGTCTGGTATCTGGTGTCTGGTATCTGGTGTCTGGTATCTGGTGTCTGGTATCTGGTGTCTGGTATCTGGTAATTGGTATCTGTTATCTCTTTATCTGGTATCTGGTTCTGCTGTCTGGTATCTGGTGTCTGGTATCTGGTGGCTGGTATCTGGTATCTGGTATCTCGTATCTGGTGTTTGGTATCTGGTACCTGGTATCTGGTATCTGGTGTCTGGTATCTGGTATCTCGTATCTGGTATCTGGTAATCTCGTATCTGGTATCTGGTTTCTGGTGTCTGGTATCTGGTGTCTGGTGTCTGGTATCTGGTATCTGGTATCTGGTGTCTGGTATCTGGTGTCTGGTATCTGGTGTCTGGTATCTGGTGTCTGGTATCTGGTGTCTGGTGTCTGGTATCTGGTATCTGGTATCTCGTATCTGGTATCTGGTTTCTGGTGTCTGGTATCTGGTGTCTGGTGGCTGGTATCTGGTATCTGGTATCTCGTATCTGGTGTTTGGTATCTGGTACCTGGTATCTGGTATCTGGTGTCTGGTGTCTGGTATCTCGTATCTGGTATCTGGTGTCTGGTATCTGGTATCTGGTGTCTGGTGTCTGGTATCTGGTATCTGGTATCTGGTGTCTGGTATCTGGTGTCTGGTGTCTGGTATCTGGTATCTGGTATCTCGTATCTGGTATCTGGTTTCTGGTGTCTGGTATCTGGTTTCTGGTATCTGGTGTCTGGTATCTGGTGTTTGGTATCTGGTGGCTGGTATCTGGTATCTGGTATCTCGTATCTGGTGTTTGGTATCTGGTACCTGGTATCTGGTATCTGGTGTCTGGTGTCTGGTATCTGGTATCTGGTATCTCGTATCTGGTATCTGGTTTCTGGTGTCTGTATCTGGTATCTGGTGTCTGGTGTCTGGTATCTGGTATCTGGTGTCTGGTATCTGGTATCTGGTATCTCGTATCTGGTATCTGGTTTCTGGTGTCTGGTGTCTGGTATCTGGTGTCTGGTATCTGGTATCTGGTATCTGGTGTCTGGTATCTGGTATCTGGTGTCTGGTATCTGGTATCTGGTGTCTGGTATCTGGTATCTGGTATCTGGTGTCTGGTATCTGGTGTCTGGTATCTGGTATCTGGTATCTCGTATCTGGTATCTGGTTTCTGGTATCTGATGTCTGGTATCTGATGTCTGGTATCTGGTGTCTGGTGTCTGGTATCTGGTATCTGGTATCTGGTGTCTGGTATCTGGTATCTGGTGTCTGGTATCTGGTGTCTAGTATCTGGTTTCTAGTATCTGCTATCTGGTATCTGTTATCTTTTATAAGTTATCAGTTTTCATTTTTCATTTTTCTATTTTAATTTTTAATTTTTTATTTTTAATTTTTCATTTTTCTATTTTAATTTTTAATTTTTAATTTTTAATTTTTAATTTTTCGAATTTTCGATTTTCGATTTTTCGATTTTTCGAATTTTCGATTTTTCGATTTTTCGATTTTACGATTTTTCGATTTTTCGATTTTTCGATTTTTCGATTTTTCGATTTTTCGATTTTTCGATTTTTCGATTTTTCGATTTTCGATTTTTTCGATTTTTCGATTTTTCGATTTTTCGATTTTTCGATTTTTCGATTTTTCGATTTT